GGATTTTCTAGGCAAAGATACTGGAATGGTTTGCCATTTCCTTCTCCAGGTCATTTTACAGATGAGGAAACTGAGGCAAACAGGATTGACTTACCCAGGGTCACACAGCTAGTAAGAGTCTGAGGCAGGATTTGAACTCAGAAAGATGAGTTTTTCTGACTCCAGGCCAGGTACTCTATCTACTGTACCACCCAGCTCCCCTTAAGGGTAGAAACAAGCATTTATTAAGTGCCTTCTATATGCCGGGTGCTTCATAAATATCTCATTTAGTCCTCCCAACAAACCTGAGTGGTAGGTGCTATTTTATCATTGAAGAAACTAAGGCAAATAGAGGTCAAGTTATTTGTCCAAGGTCACATACCTTCTAAGTATCTGAGGTCAGACTTGAACTCAGGTCTTCCTGATTCCAGGGCCGGTACTCTACCCACTGCACCATTATCTTCAGTAGTGACAACGATCAAGAAAGTGGTATGCGTTTTGAGTCAGAGGAATATACACTGAAGACACTATGATTTCATGTTCCTACTTAACCCACAATCATGCTCTTAGCACTTAGCTCTGAATCTGTGTTTAATAGGACTGAAATATCACACTCTTGTTGGTGCAGTGGAGAAAGTGCTAGACCTGGAGTCAGGAAGACTCCTCTTCCTGAGTTCAAATCTGACCTCAGACACTTACTAGCTGTGTCACCTTGGGCAAGTCACTTAACCCTGTTTGCCTCAGTTTCTCATCTGGAAAATGAGCTGGAGAAGTAAATGGCAAACCACTCCAGTATCTTTGCCAAGAAAACCCCAAATGGGGTCTGGAAGAGTCAGACATGCCTGAAAAATTATTCAGCAACAACAATCATATCACACCTGCTCAATGCAGCAGGCTAAATAGGTATAGACAAGAGAGGTAGTTAGCATGGTAAAAGAAAGTGACAGGTTCATGAGATTTTGATCAAAGATTAATTTTCTTTTGTAGAATATTAGAGGGCCCTTTAAAGAGTAGCTGCTTGGTTTCTCTTTAAAGTCAGCTGGAGTAACATGGTTATTAAAAACACCTGCCTTTGCACAACCATAATACTGGTATCAGTCATCTTTTCACCTGGTAGCATATTATTTTCAATCCATGCTCTTTCTTCCTCACATTGCAACTGACAATTGCATTGTCCAGAGGCATAAATCCATGAAATGGCAGGTGGGTTGTTTCAGCTGAATTTTCACCTCCCCCAAACTTCTTTCTCTAATATTTGCCTCCCACCTCTTCAATCATGTCTGTGTTCTAGCAAAAAAAAAAAAAAAACACCACCAAAAAAAGAAAAGAAAACCAACAGAAGCAAAATCAAAATACTAGAAGTAATTCTAAGGAATGACAAGTCACATTTGTGTCAAACTTTGTTATTTCTGTTGGAGGATGGGACTAGCAGTATCTTTTTAGGATCACCATGTTGTGTCAGACCTGTTCTCTATGAGTTATATAGGGAAAGGGGTGCAGATGTGACCCATCTGGATGTTTCAGGAGAATTGACATACAGATCGTGGAATTAAGATTCATCATGACATCCTACCATTTGCAAAATTCTTGAGGGGAGGATGTCCACACAGCATGCCTGTTTTAAGCATAATGTAAGTCAAGAAACTTAGAAAGAACAAGGACAATGCCATTTACCGAGGTAGTGAATAACCAATGAATCCCCCAAAGTGATTGCATTATTCAAATTCATACTGCATATTTCTACTGGACTGGGACCAATTACTATATTTCACATAATTATAACTTCAAATAGTATGAATTAAAATCCATGTGAACCCTTCAGAGGACTTATATTGTGCACTAATTGAAATCTTGTTGTATTCTCTGTGGTGTTTAATGTATCACCAACACTCATATTTAGGATTGTCGGAGAAGAGATAGCTTAAAGATGACAGGATGATAAATATTCCTGTCAGATTGACTGTCAAGTAACCAAAAATTTTGGTCACACATTTGGATATTAGGTGTTATGTTATATAGACAAACATCCAAATAATTAATCCATATTTTTGTTTTCATTTATATATTTGCTGTCAGGAAAAGCCAGTTCTTCTTCTTTCAATTCAATTGAATTTATTTCAACAAATATGTATTAAGAACCTACTATGGTGCTTTATCTACAAAGACAAAAAAAAGAAAATGGTCCTTACCCTCTGAGAGCTCACATTCTATTAGGAAGTTATAACATGTACACAAGCAACCATAGATAATGCAATACAAAGCCATTTCAAGGAAGGAATGGTAATAAATGGGAAAAGACCCTTTGTGTAGGGGGCTTCATCTGAGCTGAGCTGGAGAAAGCCAGGTATTCTGAAAGATAGAGGTGAGGAAAGATGCATTCCAGATATGAAGGACCACTTAACACAAAGACAGAAGACAGAATGGCACATTGGCAGAAAGCTAGCAGGCCAGTTTTATGGAAAAAAAAACTTGAATCACAGTAAGAATAAATAAGACTGGAAATAAGAATCAGAGTCAGATTGTGAAAGACTGAAGAGTTTGCATTTTATCCTAGAGACCCTGGGGAATCATTGGATATTTTTTAGTAACAAGGTTGACAGGGTGAGATCTATATTGTAGAAACACCAGCTTGGCAGCTGTGTGAAAGATGGGCTGGAATAAGAAGAGTCTGGAGGCAAAGAGGCCATTAAAAATGGTCCCAATATGAGAAGTGTAGAGTGCCTGAACTCAGCTAGAGTGAAGGGTACAATTGCAAGGGATATCATGGAGGTCTATGGCATATCAGAGATGGGATTTTTCCCATACAAAAGAGGGGGAAAGCACAGAACTGTCATGCCATCTTAATCATGGGAACTACAACATACATGGTCAAGTCAATCTGGGCTCAGATTTGGAGGCCTGCAGCATTGCTGTCTCCAGAAACCACAAAAAATCTCCTTTGTTAAATTTCCTTTGGAAACATGGTTCTTGTGCATGAGTTTCCTTTTCTCCCCCCAGTGCCAATATAGGATTACTTCATATTCATTTGAAGAGATGTTTGTTGCCAAGTGAAGCAATTCAATTTCATAAGAGAAACTGATCAAGTCTCTTCATTTTCAAATCCCTTGAACTCAGAGAGCACTCCTTCTAATTGCTGGAGTGGTTCTAATTTAAGATAAGCTGGAAAATAAATGTAAATGTCTTCAGTGTGCATGCCAATAGTATGCTACACTTTGAGCTTCAAGAGTTTAAAGTCTTTTGTATATGTTATCTCATAATTCAGAAAAGAGTCAGTCCAGTGAGTAGCCTTAAAATCTTCATAATCAGATCCATCTTGAATCCAAAGCAAGTGAGGTACAGGGAAGAGAAAGGAGGAGATTCACCCAGCAAAGAGCTCAGTGGTACAAGCAGGAATAGAACATTGGTCTCTGTGTCTGCCAGACCAGGATGCCTTAGAAAAGAGATACATACGCCCCACCCTCTCAGAATCTTCATAGTCTTCATCATCAACAATATCATCAGAGGCAACTAGGTGGGGCAGTGGATAGAGCACCAGCCCTGGATCAAGAAGACCTGAGTTCAAATCTGACCTCAGACACAAAACATTCACTCTCTGTGTGACTCTGGGCAAGTCGCTTAACCCCAATTGCCTCACCAAGAAAAAAAATTTAAAAAAAAACCAATATCATCATACATTTATTTTGAAAACTTGTGCACAGAAAGTAGAATCAAGTATAACCGTTCAAGCTGGTTCCCTGAATACTTATGGCACTTATCTATTCCATTTGTTTTTTAAATTGTATTTGTTAATTTTTAATTTAGCTTCATTTCCAAATGTTTACCTTTCCCCCCCTCCCTGGGCAGCTAGGTGGTGCAGTGGATAGAATGTTAGGCCTGGAGTCAGGAAGACTTGAGTTCAAATCCTGCCTCAGACACTTACTAGCCATGTGACCCTGGGCAAATAACCCTGTTTGCCTTGGTTTCCTCACCTGTAAAATGAGTTGGAGAAGGAAACAGCAAACCATTTCAGTATCATTGCAAGAAACCCCAAAGGGTGGTCAGGAAAAGTCAGACACAGTTGAAACAAGTGAACTGTTAACAACCCTCTCCCTTACTCTATCAGAGGCAGCTAGATGGCACAGTGTGTAGAATGCTGGGCTTGGGGTCAGGAGATCCCAGGATGGAGTTCTGTTTCACACACTTACTAGCTGCCTGACTCTGACTAAATCATTTGACCTCTCTTAGCCTTAGTTTCCTCATGGTGAAATGGAGATAACAATAGTACCTACCCCTCACAAGGCTGTTGTGAAGATCAAATGGCATAATGTATGTAAAGTGCTAACTTATTACCCTTATAACAAGCTGGGGGGGGGTGGGGAGAGAAGTGGGGGGAAAAGGCATTTTGGTACAATCAACCAACACATTCATAGAGAATACAGCTTATGGGATGTTACATATCCATAGTTCCCTGCCTTTATAAAGACCAAAGGTTCATTTCCTCATCTCTTCTGCGTGAGGCTAGTCTGCCATTTATACACTTAATCCATTGCTCTCTTGGAGAGTCATCTGCTTGTTTCTACTTGTAAATTCTGAAAGATGCAATGGAAGCCCTTCGAAAAGAGTGAAAGCTTTGTGTAAATTGAAAAGTGGTTAATAGATCTAGTAGTTTCCTGAGCGAATGGCCTCTTTCCCCAACTAAAACACAAACGTTTCAGGACAGAGATAATTTTGTGCTATATGTTCATATGCGCATTCTTAGTGTTGCGCACTTAGCACACCACTGGAAACAAGGTTGCCCTTGTGTATTCACTGTGTTGGTTAAAATAAGTTGAACTGAACTCATTGAATTGAATTGGCCAAGACTGCGAGGTAGGCAGCAAAAAAGGAAGAGCACCTTCTAGAGAGAGATGATCGATTATCTGCGAGAGGCGGATCCCAGCCCAAAGTTTGTAGCCCGCCCCCCTCTCTTACTCCCTCCCGCCCTGCTTTCCTATTCCACCCGAGCCTGGAGAGGGCTGGAGGCTGCAGACTGTGGGGTTCTCTCCCTGGTTTCTGCTGTCCTCGCTCCACCTCGGCTGGAGTCCCGGACAGCGCCCCAGCGCCCCAGGCCCCAGGCTCCGACTCCCTCTTCCCAGCCTGGGGAGGGGCTCCAGCTGCTGGACCTCTAGGGCGGTACAATCTAGCCAGCTCTGTTGTGCGGCGCCGGCTCTGGAGGAGCAGACACGCGCTGGTGCCGCTGCCCCAGTGGCCCCTGTGCAGAGCATCGCGATTTGGACGTGGAGAAGAAGAAAGAAGGGACCGCGTGGGCTTCCCTGACCACCCTTCCCCGCCTCCTGGCCGGGTGTCTCAGCCCGTCCTCCACTGTGTCTCCAAGATGCGGGCATCCTGGTGCCCAGCGCTGTCTTTCCTGCTCTCCTTTGTTGCAGGTGCTTTTGTTAACACAGCAGCCAGGTGAGTGTGTGTCTGCCCAGAAATTGGCTTCAGCGATCTGAATTCCTTATTCGGTTCTTTTGTTTCCCTCCCCTTCACTACCATTTTTTTTTCTTTCGTGCGTCTTTGGAAGTGGCCAGACTGGGAGGGTCCCCGAATGAATGTCCATTGTCATTTCTTCCCGGGGTCATGTGGTGTCTCTTCCTCCCTTCAAACTCATTCCAATCATTCTCCAGTTCCTTCGTTTTCAAAAGGATGCTCCTCACATGAGGAATGTGACCCTCTTGGCCGTATTCAGGGAGATCTGTCTACTATCTATAACTCTGAATACTAGTGTGTGTTCAATTGGTGCTGTTTCGTTCTTTACACAACTGAGCTAAGCATTGACTAGTTGTCAGCATCTGGTTTGGGGGGAGGGAGGGGAGAAACGGAGACACCACGTTGGTGGCCTTCTAGGAGTTTTGAAAAAATAAGCAGACAACTTGGTATCTATATCTTTGGTGCTCCTTTGATATCCCTGACCAAACACACAAACACACACACACACACACACACACACACACACACACACACTTCTGTTCAACATAATTGCCAGAATTAATGTGAAGCCACTGACCCAGGATTCAAAATTGGGTAGGTTGGCTTAATGACCACAGGTGACTCTAATCCTAGAAGGCCTCTCAAGGGAGACCATAAACCTAAAATTAGGAAGGTCCTCAGAAGCCATCTGGTTCACAAATAAAGACATTCCTGGCAGGGTATCAAAGTCAAGATTTGAACCCAAGACCTCTGAATCCAGAATCAACTTTTTCTTCTCTACCACATTAGTTCCCAATGCACTATGAAGAGGACTGGACTTGAAATCAGAACTGCATCTTGCAGAATTTGACATGGATTCTCCTTAAAGCCCTGTCCTTAGATAAGTTTTTTAAAGGTACCCTGGAGGTTGCATACTTGGCCTGCAGGCCATCAGGTTTTTGTTTTTTTTGTTTGTTTGTTTTTTTTCATTCGATTCCACTATAGTAATCCAGAGATTCTTAAGTTCAAATAGAAATTCATGAATTCATAGAAAGAACATTGAACTTGATGGTGGGAAAGTGGAAAAGGAGAAACTTGGATCCAAATCTTACTACATGACACTTCTTAGCCTTGTGATATTAGAGAAGTCACTTAGCCATTTAGGACCTTAAAAAAAATGAGGGAGCTGGACTAAAAGACCTCAAGGGTCCTCTTTCATACATTCATATGATCCATCTATTCATTTAACAATAAGTAGATGTTCTTTTAAGAAATAAGGAAACCAGCATTTATAATCACCTACTGTGTTTTACACATATTATTTCATTTGATCCTCACAACAACCATAGGAGACAGGTACTTTTTAATCCCCATTTTACAGTTGAAGAAACTAAGGCAACCAAAGGTTAAATGACTTGCCAGGGTCATACACCTAGTAAGTGTTTAAGGCAGAATTTGAACTCAGGTCTTCCTGACTCTAGATTCAGCACCCTAGCCCCTGTACCACTTAGCTGCCTCATAAATAAAAGGCAAACTATGCTGTTAGAATATTTGACTACAGATTTCCATGTTCTTCTATGATAAAAAAAATTACATAGTTTTCATTTAATCTTCAAAGAAAAAAATTTTGTATATGTATTACTCCAAGGTAAGAGGGATGATAAATGCTATTTTTGAAGAGAATTAATAGTTATTTGGTACCAGGCAAACAGAGTTCCAGGGTTTCACTTTCAAAGTACCACTAAATTAAGTTAAAAGCCATACAATCCCCAGATCAACTAGAGAATATTAATATGGAGAACCCATGTCAAATTCTGCAAGCTACAGTTTTCAAAGATGTAAAGTGGGTTTATTTGCTTAGTATCAAGTTCATGAGCTGGTATGTTTAGTATCAGCAAGTGGAAGCATCCATGTTCCAACATGCTTAGTGCTGTCAAGCCCTGGTCACTGACTTTTCAGGAACTGCACAAGGGACCAGATTTTATAAACTCCAGACCTGAAGTTATGGAAAACACATTGACATAGAAGGCAAGGCTGTCTTTGCTGAGAGTTAGTATGCTGATTATTTCTAGAGGTTTCACACATTATATTGCAAACTTCTTCTGCTACATGGAGATGATATTGAGTATGAGTATGTTATTTCCATGAAACCTTTCACTGTAAATTAGGTGATCTTTTGAGTTATAAGTTTGTTTAATACATTAAAAAAAATATTATTCTGAGGTGTCCATAGGCTTCATCAGAGGGCCAAAGGAGACCATGATACAAAAAAAGGTGAAGAACTCCTGTATAAGATTATACATTAACCATTATAAGATTATGTATTGTGTATTAACTTGACCCTAAACAACCAAATATGACATTAATACTTGACCCTTGAGCTGTTCTCTGCTGTCCCAGTATTGGAACCTGCAGATCCCTTAAGATGTGAAACCCCTGAAGCAGAGCTGCAGCTAGGGAGAAGCAACTAGGGTTTTGCCTCAGGGCACTAAAATCTGGATGCCGTGGGTTTGCTCCTTCCCTTTCTGTGCCAGTCCTACAACCTATCATTCCTGCATATCACAGTGCTCTGTTATGCAGTGTGACTTCACGGCTACCCTACTTTATCCTCGCATGGTTCCAAGATCAAGTTGCCCTCACTTACCACTTTCCTAGGGCCTGCTTTCCCCAGCCTGGTGTTTGTCCTTTTTCCTCCCCAGGATTGGGGAAAGGTGGAAGACTGGAGGGGTTTTAGCCAAAACACAAGTGCATAAACTAGACTGCTTAAGGGTCAGGCTGCCCCTCCTCCCCCTCCTGATGCTACCCTAACTGCACAAGGCTAATACCAGGCCTGAGGATTTGAGCCACGCTTTTCTGTGGAAGACACCCAGGTCAGCTAAGTTACTGTGATATGAGAGAACTCACTGACTGAGGAGAGATCACATAGGTGAGTTCCTCCTCCACTCAAATGAATTTGCCCCAGGAGCAGAATTTCCTAGTTATAATTCTGCCCTGAACATTCAAAAAGGATGGAGTCTTCTGACCTCAGACATACTATAACAGCATCTTGCTAACTATTCTCTTCCATAGATGTATTGTTTTGAGTAGGAATTTTTCACCTTTTTTGTATAATGGTCCCCTTTGGCACTCTGATAAAACCTATGGACACTTCAAAATAATATTTTAATGTATTAAACATAATATGTAGGATTACAAAAGAAACCAGTTTTATTGAAACATTGTTATCAAAATATTTTTAAAATTTATGGACCCCAGGTTAAGAACCTCTGGTGAGAGTAATTAATTGCATTACTAACATATAACTTGCTCTAAATTTCTATTTCCTTTCAATTAAGATTAATTCTTTTCAATTGGAATTGATATCAAAGTGAGAGCTAAGAGAAATCCGGAGCTAAGATAAAGGTCCTGGCTTTATTTCACCAGATCTCCTTAATGGTATTCTTGAGAACTAATCTTTGTCAGACTTCTGATGTAGCCAGATATTTACCCAAGCCTAGCTTTGGGGGGATAGCTTCAGACTTTAAGCATTATTAAAGTAGGCCATTTTGATGTGTGTTTTTGTAGCACATAACCTAACATTTATCTTTTTTTAAGACTAATCATTTATAGGAATGTATCTAAAATTCCAGAATTTAGTGGTCCTAGGAGAGAGTTAAGTAAGTTCAAGAAAGACCCACTTGTATCACAGAAAAGTCTGGCAATGGTTTTATTTCAAAAACTAGTTTCAGTGGAATGGCTGATCTTGGAGGCCTATGTTATGTATAATCTCTATTAACATAAACCATATTTGTGGATACAAAATAACATAGAGAAGATTCAAACATTTAAAATACCTAGAGTATTTCTTGGATTGCTGTATCATATCAAAGTTTCCTTTATTTTTTTCAGAGACATTCGATTTGGCTACTCACTTTACAATTTGTAATCATGGTCCCAAATCTATGTTGATTTCCTAATTTTAGGTTGGTCTCTTCTTTAAATTCAAACCTTTTTTTGGGAAAAAATGTTCTGAGAGCATCTTGAAATCACTAAGAATTGAATTCAATTGAAAATGTTTTTTAAGTGTCTGTTGTATACAAGGCACTATGCTAGATGCTATGAATGAAATTAATTAACACCAATGTTACCTTCAACAAGGTTATCATTTAACAAGGGGACAAGATATGTGCACAAATAACCATGATTCAAAGAAGAATGTGGTAAGTACAAAAGGGATACCTAGACAAAGGACTGGGGGGAATGTGAGGAAGGAAAGATTATTTCAAATGGGGTTAGGAAGAGATTTGGGAAAATTTCATAGATAAAATAGCCCAGGGGTCAGGCCTTGAAGGAAGGGAGGAATTTCAGTTACCAAGTCCTATTGATTATACCTTCATGACCTCTCTGTCATTTATCCTTTTCCCTGTACTCCCACTAGCTCTATCCTAATTTGTTGTTATTGAGTCATTTCAATCTTGTCCAACTCTTCATGACCCCCCTTGAGGTCATGGCAACGATACTAGAGTGGTTTGACATTTCATTCTCCAGCTCATTTTACAGATGAGAAACTGAAGCAAATAGAGTTAAATGACTTGCCCAGGGTCACACAGCTGATAAGTGTCTGAGTACAGATTTGAACTCAAGCAAATGAGGCTTTGTGACTCCAGGCCTGGCATTCTATATAGCGGGCCATTTTACTACTCAACTATCATAATAGAGACCCTCAAAAAAAAACCTACCTGGACTATTTATTGTGCTAGCTTCCTAATAGAGTTTTCTTCTTCAATCCATTCTTTAGTATTTTTTTTATCTAGATCACTGTTCTGCTCTCCCTATTGCCTCTGTCTGGAGTGGTTACTCCCCTTCACTCTAGGCCACCCACAATCTAATACTACCCTGTCTTGCCGTATTTGTCTCATATTATTCAATTTTGCATACTCCGGCCATAATGGACCCTTTTTTGTTTCCCAAACATTCAACCAACAAACATTTTTAAAGCACCTATATACAGATATAAGTAAATT